AAATTTTCTGCTTTGCTGGATTCTCATGGAGGGGGAGGTCAGGGTTCCCATTTTCTGTTTTAATCGCCACCACGGTGACGTTGGAGACCAGGGCGTGCAGAAAGCCCCGAGAATGCAGGAAAATAAGCTCCCACTCCCGCCCCCACCCCCGCCCGCGCGTGAACCTCTCGGCTCTCATCCCGTCCACGCCTCTAGGCATTGCTGCTCTTTGGCCAGCTTCGAATTCAAAGTGGGGAACGAATGTCCGGTGAGGCGGTGGGGCAGCCCGCAATCGGTTTCTTGAGGTGACAATAATGCCCTTGTTCTCCCTCATTTAATTGGGGAAAGACTCCTGCGCACGGCCCACAGCATCCCCGTAGCCGGCCTGGCCGGCGGGCGCAGCGCACAGGACACAGGCCGCGGGCGGCCAGGGGTGGGGGTGGGGGTGGGGGCGAAGGAGCTTGTCCCGCGGGCCGGGAAACGCGGCTGAGCAGAAGGCTGGGCCAGGGCGGGCCTGTCCCCACACCAGGTGGGCAGTGGGCGACCCGAGGCTACTTAAGGGCCTAGGCCTTCTTAGGTAAACGCGGTGTAGACCAGCCCGCGAGCCCCGCGTAGACTGTGCAGGTGGCGCTGCTCGCTCGAACCCTCGGAATCAGGGGCTCCTGCCTGCGCACGAGCGCTCCCACTCGTGCACAAGCCTCAGACCCAGCGCCTACACCAGGCCGCCCTCCCCCATCCTTCGGGGTGAGGAGGGGTGGGAGGTGTCGCCCCAGCTTTGCTTCATCCGAGGGGCCCGCGGAGCACCGACCTCTGCCTCGCGCTTCGCACGCGAAGTGGAAAAGCGCGTCCTCGCTGCGCTGCCCACGGGGCCCGGCCCGCGGCCGCTCCCCCTGGAGGCCCGCGGCGCGCGCAGGGGCTGGGGCTCCCGGACCCCGCCCGGCAGCAGGGACCGCAGGGAGCCGGGTCGGCTGGGGGCAGCGCAAACCCCAGCGGCTTTCAGAGCGGAGGGGAAACACCTTGCACCCTCCGAAGTGGGAGCAGCGCGGACCTCGGAGCACTTAGGAGATCAGGTTTCCCCTGCGACGTTAACCTTCAAAACAGAACTAAAAGGACGAGGAAATCTTTTTAACTGCTCTGAGGCAACCCTGGGGGGCACAGGGAAACTGTCTCCAGGCCGGAGCTCGCTCTCGCGGCGTCGGTGCAGCTCCTCCCCAGAACCAGCCGCGCTTGCAGGACGCTCCTGTCCACCCCCGCCCCGCCTGCCCTCTCGGAACAAAGCCGCGCTGCGCTGCAGAGGGGGCGGGCGGCTGTGCGGGATCCCGGGAAAGGCGCCCAGCCCGGCTCTGGGGCCCGGAGCCGCCCGCACCCCCCGGCCGCGAGCTCCACGCACGGAAGCCTGGGTGGGGGCGGGAGCGCGACGCCCTCCTGGGGCGGCCCACGCCCGGGACCCAGGCCCAGACCCGGACTCCCGCCCGGCTCGGAGCCGCCGGGGAGGGGCGACTTCCGGAGCACCCGGGCCCCGCCCGCAGCGCCCCGCCCCCGGCCCTGCACGCCCCGCCCCCGGCCCTGCACGCCCCGCCCACCTCCCGGGGCCGCGGCCGCCCGCTCCGAACTGCTGCAAAGTTTGCGGGTGGCTCCGGGCTGCAGGGCGGAGGGACCCGGGCGCAGTAGGGGCCGAGGGGGGCGCCTCGCGTTTCTGCGGCGGGGCGCGGGGAGCGGGCTCTTCCCGGGGCGAGGCGGGCGAGCGGCCGGCGTGCGGGGGCTCAGGCCTTGCCCGCTCGTGTGCCCGCAGAGGAGGGCGAAGGCCCGGCGCCGGTGTCCGGGCACGCTTGTCGCTAAGGCGGCCGGGCGGCCGGCGGGCAGGGCCGAGACCAATCCCGCTGCTTCCACCCGCTGCCCTCGGGTGTTTCTGGGAGACGCGTGGCGCTTCCCATCCTGCGCTCTGAATACCACTTGGTGCAGGGTGTGTGTGCGCGTGAAACCGGTTCGGCACCCAAGTTCACGCCAAGCGGAGGGCGTCGGTGGTCACGCGAGCGCGGCGGCCAGGTGTCCACGAGGTGCGCGGGGGGCAGCGGCCACGGCGCGGCAGGTCCGCCTCGCTCTCCTGGCGGGAATCGCGGTTTCGTGCGCGGCTGTCGGCGGGAGCCCCTGCCGCGGGTCCGGCAGTGGCGGTGGCAGCGAGGAAGCAGGGTCACCACGGTCGCCCTGGGCCTCTCCGGAAGCTTTCCCTGACCCCCCAGTTCCGCGGCGCGGGGTCCGCAGCTCTTTAGTAGCAGGACTGCAAGGGACGCCCGAGGGGGGGCGCCGGCCGGGCGGCAGCCGCGGGTGCTGGGAGGACAGACGCCTGCAGCCCCGCAGGAGCTCGACGCGGCTCAGGGGAAAGGCACGCGTTTCTTGGGGGGCCACCGCCCCACGTCTCGTGGTGGCAGCTTGCCCAGCGTCCCGGAGGGTAGGCTTGGTGAGCCTACCTCAGTTTCCCCGTTGGAGCTGCAGAAAAGGCTCAGGGCTGTCCCCTCTGACTGCCAGACGTGCAGGGGACGCCCGACACGTGCCCTTACACGTGTTTTTTTTTTTTTAAGATTTTTTTATTTATTCATAAGAGACACAGAGTCAGAGACACAGGCAGAGGGAGAAGCAGGCTCCATGCAGGCAGCCTGATGCAGGATCCCAGGTCTCCAGGATCACGCCCTGGGCTGAAGGCGGCACTAAACCAGAGCCACCCGGGCTGCCCCCACACACACGGGTTTTGCACACGTGTACACCACACACTCCACATACCACCTGCAGGAGGAAGCGGCCTTGCTGTTACAGGTCTCCGTACAAGGGGGGCAAAGCTTTAAGAAAGCAATGCAGATCCGTGTATTCAAATAGGACTAAAATCCAGCCACCAAGCCCTCCAGAGTTTGTTCTACTTTGTGTTCTGAACTTGCCAAGTTGCTAAAGCCGAGCACCTGCTGGGCCGGGCCCTGGGCCTGCCCGGCTCCCTCCCTAGCAGTCAGGCAGTGGTGGACCAGGGAAGTATCGGACCTGGGGCCTGGCCAAGGAGCCCAGAGTGGCCTTCCTGAGGAGCCAGGGGGAGGGAGGCACGGTTCAGAACCAAATTCGGCACTGGGTGTGCAAAGTGGATGCAGGGGATGGGCAGGAGGCCAGAGGGGCTTCTCTGACAGGAGCTGCCCACCCCAGATTCCCCAGGCACCCGCAGCTGGGAGTCGAACTGGGGCTGCAGAACGAGGCTGGCCAAGTGCACTGCGAGCTTAGCCCTGGGTGGGTGGCAGGCACCAGTGGCCCAGAATAAGCTTGGTCAAGTCTTGGGCTGGCCTGCAGATTCGGGCTCTGCTGGCTTTTCAGAAATGCAGGGGTACTTTAAGGGGCACCCCCTCACACTGAGGGGACGTGTCCAAGCTTTTCCAACAAAACCACCCCGCAAAACTTGTGTGTTGGGGTCTACAGAAGGGCAGTGGGTAGCAAGTGCACGAGATACCGTCTTCAGAAAAGCCACCGAAATGCCTTGGAGGTGGCGACTCCGCCAGCCACCGGGTCCCTTCCAGGCGCGCCCCACAGCCTCCTGGCGACGCCGTCACAATAGCTACAGCCGCCCCGAAGGGCACAGGGCTGCAGTAGCAGCAGCCTGACAAGTGTGATAAAATGATCTTCCTTAACTAAACTCGTAAAGCACTGGGCAATAAAACTCAATCTTCTGTAAAATCCAATTAAGTCATTATCTGACTGATTGTATCTTTAATTGAAAACAGAAGTGACAGTAAATTTCTGTGATATATCAGGATCAATCGATACCACTATACGATTCAGCCCCAAGAAGTGATTTATAATGTCAAACCCATATAGGTAACTCCACATTATTCTCTCTAAAACCACTGGTGGATGAAATTAAGAGTAAGTGCATTTAATAAAAAACAAGATGGTCAGGTTATTGATTACAACAGATGGGGGTGAAATCAAATAGATGTTTTCAAAGCACAGAGCGAAGAAAATACAAGTAATTTCTTTTTTCCTGTTTAATACCGCGCACCAAATATACACACAAGGAAATTCAGTCATCAATAACATTTTTATTTCAGGTACAGCTGCAACTACACAGAACAATGAATTTTTTTTCGACTAGTTTCATTTCAGGATGGCTTCTGTTACATAAGGAAGTACTCCACAAGCAATTTTTAACAAAATAATGAACTCAGAAATCTGTAGTAACTTTTAAAGATGTACTTATTTTCAAATCAGATTACAACCTAAGGTTACAAAATACTTTAGATTGCATCCATTTTTTTCCCCTGTAGTAGAAAGAATGTGTAGAATAAACTCTCCTATTATTCTAGAAACCAACCCAGGAATTCTGCATTACTGAGGTTACTTTAAATTGCGTCGTTTTGAAATTACACCCCATTTGAGAAAAATGCAGTGACTCTTAAGGGCTTTAATTTCTCTTTGCTGGCTGTATTTCAATCAGGTTTTGGATTTGGGGGCGGCGGGGAAAGGCTTGGCTTTTCCAACAGCAACACAGACAGTATTTCCAATTACTCTGACCTTCTGGTTTCTAAAACAATCATGAAGTTTGCTCTCCTCTCCTCACTGGTCAGGTATTTGGCTAAGTATATTTTTGCAATTTTATTAAAATACTAATATAGAAACACTTAAGGCACCTAAGATTTCATTTTAAAACCACAAGTAGTATCTAATTATGACACACTTCAATGCAAATGTACTGCTTTACTTTAGTGAATTATTGTAGTTCTTGAAAACTACATGTAAACCAGTGTCAAAAAAAAAAAAAAAAGAGGGTCGGGATGCTACTATTTTACTCCTCGAGCAAAGCACTTAATTCTGAACTATTCCAAACATATTTTAGCCTCTGGGCTAAGCTCTGTGGAGTATATAAACCAAACACTCTCTCAACAGTTAAGTCGACATGAGTCAAGGCAAAATATTAACAACAAACCCCGTGTCTACGTGGAATAAGCCTGCTATTCCAAGTGAAGGAACCGGCCAGAGGCCTCGGGCATCCTTTACTCGTCCTCTTCGATGACGGGAGTGACGGTGAAGCTGCTGGGCTCCGAGGCAGACTCACATTCGAGCACTCCCTTTGTGCTCTCCGTACTAATAGGAGAGCTGCTGGAGAGGGAAACCAAGCCAGAATCTTGACTGCTGGGCGGCGAGAAAACTGGGGCGTGGGGAGAGACAGGGGGGGAGAAGAGGATGTTAAAAGTGGCTAGTCTTTCTACATTCAGTATTCAATTAGGTTCCAACAAAGATAGAGGCACTCTGCATTTCTATTCGGAGTTAAAAGTGTCTTTCTAGGCACTCATTAAAATCCCCAGTGCTTCTTTAGAATAAAAAGCGGCGTTTCTGCACAATATCTATCTATTCAGTTGTCTAAGTTGAAAGGGAAAGTTAGGTAGCAGAGTTCTGGGTTTATGTGCATAAAGAAAAGAGAGAGAGAGAAAAAAAAAACACAACCCCGTGAGCTCCCTCCCTCCCCCTCCTTGGGGAAAACTATTTCCACCCTTCACTGAACCCCTCCCCTTTATGTAAAGGATGCTAATAGAACTTGTCTTGTCAAATGATCCATCTGACAAATTACCCCAAGCAAGACTCCACCCCATGTGTTTCTACTATTTGATAGGTAACCCTAAGTTTTTCTTTTTTTTTCTTTTTTTTAAAGATTTATTTATTTATGATAGACACATAGCGAGAGAGAAAGAGGCAGAGACACAGGAGGAGGGAGAAGCAGGCTCCATGCAGGGAGCCCGACGTGGGACTGGATCCCGGGACTCCAGGACTCCAGGATCACGCCCTGGGCCAAAGGCAGGCGCCAAACCACTGAGCCACTCAGGGATCCCCTAACCCTAAGTTTTTCAACAGATAGCAAGTGAACGTGATAACTTACTAATATCCCTGTTACTTCTCTTAGACAAACAGGGACAAACACTTGCTCTTTACCTAACTTTTGAGGGCTAAGAAGCAGTAAATGGGAGGCAAACTTTCTTAAAAATGTAAAAAGTGAAAGGAATACCTTCACTAGAACAGAAGTCAGGTAAAGATTTTTAAAAGCCAATCTGTGAACGTAAAACTCCACCAGGACCCTGACATGAAAAGATGAAGGATGCTAATGTGCTGAACAATTTTTGCAACCTTACAAGCCACAGTAGATACAAAATTTAAGCAAAAGAGTCTCTGACCTTCTTAACCTTAGCCGAGTTCAGATCCACCCCCAGAACTCCCTTCCTGCCTAGTGTGAATGTAATTAAGGGGAAGCTGCAGTGGCAATTTCTCTCCTCATTAACTTCCTGATTGGTTTCAGCCTCAGGATTCTGCTGGGCAGTAGTTTGTCACCAATTCCAAATGGCCAATCGTTAATACTAATGTTTGTGTAACTAACTGCCAGCATCTGCCACGGCTTCTTGTACAACAATAATGGTGAAAGGGTACATTAGTGCTCCTGTGTTAATTCAGCTTGTGTTCATCAATAGGGAAATCTATGATGTAATTAGCAAAATGCACCGGGAGCTGAGTGCTGAAGTCATTTGTAGAGAACTAAATCATAGTAGAAGCTGCACCGGGTCCTGATGTGTTTGCCATCAATACTTATTATGTTTGGGATTTAATAAGGTATATTACCGTGCTGAAAAGAGACCTTTTTACAAGAGAACACTATTTACGCTCGTTATGGGTTTGGAAAAGGTTTTGCTGCAGCCAGTGGAATCGCGCAGAACTAAGAGGACAGAGCTGGGATTTAAGCGGCAGACCCTGAACCACGCCACTGGACCGAGTTATCTCCGAAAGCCTCGTTCTTCTAATGTGACCTAGGGATGGGACAGACAGAGGGACAGAGTTCTGTAGGGCCACCTCACACACCTCTTCAAATAAGGAAGGGCATGACCTGCAAACTTAGAAGTCAGTAAATCTGAGAAACAATTCAGGCAATTTCCTGACCAGCAATTACCTTTGATACGGATACTATTTGTTTAACATTTTTAAGTAACTTAGAAGAAAAAGCAAGAGTCAAGTGTGAGAGCTTTTTTAAAAAAAAATTTTTTTTAAAGTAGAACGCTGTTAAATAGTACTTAACAGATGCCAGAAGGTGTATACGTGCATGTATAAATACATAACAGCAACCAAAAAAAAAAAAAAACCCACCCAAAAACCTGGCAATCCATGTCATCTGAAGCCTTCATTTTATTGCAGTTCATAAAGACTAAATTTGAATTGTTATATGGATTCCAAATTCCTTGCAAATCCAAAATGATTTAGGAGTTGTGCTACGTGCATAGGATGTTGGAGATACAAAGGAACATCCCAACGCTCTGCCATCTTGGAGCACAAGATGTGTCTCACCAGACACAGAACTGGAGAGCCACCGAAGAGCCATTGGGAGAGTCCATGAGTTACTCTGTCCACTGGCCCCTACCCCACCTCACACCAGTGGCAGAAGTTCCTCTGTCTAGAAGCCATGGGGACAGGAGGGAACATTTACTGCCTACTTCTGGTAGGCAACATTCCCTGGCTGAAGTATGCAATCCTCCAACCATCTACTGACAGAATTACTCTCCTTGGTTGACACAGGGGACCCTGTGGGGCATGTGGCACTGGTCAGCCGGACCCTTGACCCTCAGCCTCACCCACCCTGTACTGTACCACCCTTGGCCACCACATGTAGTCACTGGCTATGGAACTTTCCTAGTGTCTGAGTTCAAGGAGGCAAATAAGTGACCCGTATCAGACTAATGCAGCAGCGACGCGGGAGTGGGTGAGTGCTCCCTGATGTGTGCTGAGCCCCAGGCCTGCCTCCTGCCTTCACGGGACCTAAGGGATGCCCACCCCCGGGGTTACCCTCAGCCATAAGCACCCCCCCCCACTCCCATTTAGCTGACCTGTGACCCAACACAGTAGAGGTAGGAATTCTGCAAAAGGAAGACAACAGGGGAGGTAATGCAATTAAGATTAAAAAAATAGCTGATTTGGCCTCAGTTTGCCTTGTGGGTGTTTTCTTGGAAAGTGTTCCTGACACTCGAGGTACACAGACACACACAGTGACAGAGGGAGGCGCCCTGCTTCCTTCACGCGTGACAGCGCTCCAGAGAAGATGCGAATACATAAACTCGGCCTGTTTTGGCAAATGCCAGTATTTTTCAGTGTCTCTCCACTCAAACGTACATCTACATCTATGTTGTTTTTACTTTTGTTCAAGGCTTAGTTAGCATCACCTTCGAAAAGTGAGTGCTGAAGTTAGGGACGTGTTTGTTGAACTTGGTTTGTGTGCCCTCCCCCCATAGTAGTTACAGTAAACATCGCCTCCTGTTCAGATCTATTTTACAACCACCCTTAAAGGTACCCTATCCGTTTTAATGCAGCTTCATTAAATTTTGTTGGGGGAAGAGTAATCATTGATCACCGTAAATCATTTGGTATCAATTAAACATTCAAAAGTCAGAATTATCCTTTCTGCTTTTCAGGTGGATTCCAATGAGCCTGACACAAGGCTAATTTCAACTCAAAAGGTTCCTCCTAATTATTTTGTAAAAATGCTAATGCCCTGTCATAGTCAGTGGGACTGTAGGAAAAGGTACACTGCTAGTAGCGCTAGAAATCAGTCTTTCTGGACCGCAATCTAGTGACGTGTATTAAGAACGGTAAAAACCGTCCATCCCCTCTGACTTGGTAATTCCACTTTGGGGAATAAGCCCCAAGAAAGAAAGAATAATTGGCCCAGAGATGCTCAACATACAATTGTTTGCATCCTTGAAGATCTTAGTGCTCTGCTCTGGGGCTGATGGGGGGGGTGGGTCATTCATAGGCAATAAACCAGTCAGGAATCTGCCCTGGCTCCACCTCAGGCAGGCTCCTGGCATTTACAGAAATGGCAGAAATGACTTCTGGAGGCTGAAGTAGAGACTAAAAAGTACGAAACAGAAAAATGTGACCCTTGAAGGGTGCCTAGCTGGCTCAGTGGTTGAGCAACTGCCTTCGGCTCAGGGCCTGATCCTGGGGTCCTGGGATCGAGTCCTGCATCGGGCTCCTCACAGGGAGCCTGCTTCTCCCTCTGCCTGTGTCTCTGCCTCTCTCTGTGTCTCTCATGAATAAATAAATAAAATCTTTTTTTTTTTTTTTTCAAAAAAAAAAGAGAAGTAGGCAAACCTCCTCTGAGGCTGAACCCGGATGGAACCAGCAAGCCCAGTTCGTTTTTTCTCAAGTAGCCGATTTGTCTACAGAAGCTAAAGGGGCTTTTCTTCTACTAGTATTTAAAAACAAACAAAAAACCTTACACATAATCACTCTTACCAGTGCTGGGGGGCGGATTTTTTTAAAAGATGGTTCCAGCGATACTATCTAACCATCTTACTGGCCCCACCTCCCCGAAACCCACCTCGCTAAAAAACAAAACAAAAACCACTCTAACTGCTAAATCTTTCGACATTGCCAAGACCCCTGACTTTTAACTTGAATGATGTGTTGGAAGTCAGTGGCCTGGAACAAATCATTCTCCTCCAGTGATGTGAGAAAACAGGATATTCATGCTTGAGAAAAATTCTCTTCCTCTCCATGTTAAATACTGTTAGACGCCCACTAAGAAACCATTTAAAAATGTAAGAACGTAGGGGGCATCCCGCAGTTGCGCGCAGCTCCGCACCTAGACGTGGACGGGAAAACTCGAGTGCTGGCCGCGGGTTTCCCGACTTTGCAGGCCTCTGAGTCTGCCGAAAAGCGAATGAAAATTTCTCAAACGACAACTTTTTCCGCTTCGTGGTAACTGTCTTGTTTGGAAATAAAATCACGTCCAATCAACACCACTTAGCAGACATTTAATGTTTCACAATGGGATTCTTTTCCAGAGCAGAACTGCTGCCCTTCTCACTAACATCTAAAATAATTAGGATTATCGGAGCCGTCCGAAGCTTGGCAGGTTCAGTTTGTACTTTCAAACAGCGTTAATTCTTGGCACTCGGAACAAGGGATAAAAGGTAAAGATATGAATGGAGATCTTTATTCAACCCCATCTATCACGGATTAGCTCATTCTTTTCCAGTTCATGCCTGCACTCTAGTTAAGAGCAGGGCTAAGCTGTAACTGATGTAATTAGAAGCCACAAGCTGAAAAAAATAGCCCTTTATTCATCTCCCTGCATTTACTATATATTTGCTTAAAAATATATATGGATGTATG